TATATATATATATATATATATATATATATATATATATATATATATATATATGTGTGTGTGTGTATATCACGAAAATAAACACGTGATTAAGAATGTGACAATGTCAGACCACGGAGGAAAAATGAAACAGGAAATTTCCTTAAGTACTTTCGTATATTAAATACATCTTCAGAAGGTCACCTTCTGAAGATGTATTTAATATACGAAAGTACTTAAGGAAATTTCCTGTTTCATTTTTCCTCCGTGGTCTGACATTGTCATATATATATATATATATATATAAATACTTATATATATATATATATATATATATATATATATTCGTATATTAAATACATCTTCAGAAGGTCCAAAACCTTCTGAAGGACCTTCTGAAGATGTATTAAATATACGAAAGTACTTAAGGAAATTTCCTGTTTCATTTTTCCTCCGTGGTCTGACATTGTCATATATATATATATATATATATATATATATATATATATATATATATATATATATATATAAAGAGGATCTCAGACTTTACTCTGCTCCATCATCCCATTTTCTATGTCCTCCTCCTCTGCCTAAGCAATGTCAAGGGGCATCTCAGATTACACTGCTAATTGCTGACTTACCCATGTCTCCAGGGGAGCGTGTCGTGCCCTCCTCCCCTGCATGGGTGCCAGCTCTTGCCTCCCTCCCCACGCCTCCCCACGCCCTCCCCATTAACACCTTCAGACATCACTCAAAGATAAGAGCAAGCTGAGATGGGATTTGGCAAGACTGCTTCCTTATTCGCCCTGAATTCCGATTGGTGACGTCGGCGGTGACGAGGTTTCTCATTGGCTGGTGAAGGTCCCGTTATGTGTGTGTGTATTGTTTGCGTGCTGACCAGAGGTGATTGTGTGCTGCTGTTTGTAGTTGTTTATGGTTAATAAGTGTTTTTTTTTTGTTTATCAAATGGAAAATGTTTTTTTTTTACATTCTTCTTATTACTATTATTGGATTATTTTTTTATTATTTACATAACTATAAATGATTATTATATTTTGTATTATTTATTTTATTATTATTATGATTTGATGTAATTATTATAATTATTTTCATTTTTTTTATCTACCCCAACCTCTCTCTCTCTCTCTCTCTCTCTCTCTCTCTCTCTCTCTCTCCTATCGACATCAGCGAGAGAGAGAGAAAGAAAGAGAGACAGAGAGAAAGAGGAAGATACACAAGATAGCTGCGCTTAAACTTGATTTAGAGATTTCAAGAATACTGTAGCCAGTGATTAAGACATCGTCGGGTCGAGCCAAAACGCTGCGACTTCACCAACAAATGGCGTATTAAGACGCTGTTAGGTTTCCAGGAGATAAACCCGTGTAAGGAGGCCGCATATACGAGATGTTTGGAAGTGAAAGAGATGAGAGAAAAGAAAGCATTGTCTTTTGTTTTGTTTTTTTGCCCTCGATCAAGACAACATGTTTGTTTAATTGTGTGATGGCCTCCTTCGTGGAGGCTCACCTTTCTGTCTAACTACTGGTACACCTGTCTGACGTGTATATACACCTGTCTGCTTCCCCTTCATACCTGTCTATCTCATTCTCACGCTGTTTGCATCCTTTCCTGACCCCGTTTTCCCTGCCTATCCCAACTGTTTTTGTTGATTTTTGACAGTTTACGCCAAATGTTTTTGCTTGCCAGGCTATCTGCTCAAACCTGCCTGATGTCTGCTGCATGCCTAGCTGCCCCGGGCATCACTCTCGCCTGCAGGAGAGTGTGTCTCAAGGGAGCCAACCAGTCACGGGAAATGAGTGCGCCATAAAAATGTATAAACACGAGACGAAATGTATAAACACGAGAGAAAATGTATAAACAGGTCAGATGTGAGGAGGATTGGTGAGGAACGGAAGCCAGCTCCCCTCCCCCGCCAGAGTCAGGGGCGATACGTCTCTGGAGAACCCAATGGTGTAAACATCTTATTTGCTTGGAAAAAAACAAATATCATTCCTGTTTGTATTCGTGCAAGGGAGAGAGTTTTGTGTGTGGTTTAGTCACCGGTGAAGTGTGAGAGGGAACGGTAGAATCTGGTGTAGGGGAGCTGTTAGGGGCTGACTCAGCCAGGGACCAACAGTCTGGTGTAGGGGAGCTGTTAGGGGCTGACTCAGCCAGGGACCAACAGTCTGGTGTAGGGGAGCTGTTAGGGGCTGACTCAGCCAGGGACCAGCACACTGATCCTCACCTGAAGTTAAGAAATGACTCTCCCACAAACTCACAAGCGCCTTCTCGCTATTTTTACGCCATAGTTTTGCGTGACTGCGTCCCCGGGTCCACCACGCCCCCGGGTCCACCACGCCCCCGGGTCCACCACGCCCCCGGGTCCACCACGCCCCCGGGTCCACCACGTCCCCGGGTCCACCACGTCCCCGGGTCTACCACGTCCCCGGGTCCACCACGCCCCCGGGTCCACCACGCCCCCGGGTCCACCACGTCCCCGGGTCCACCACGCCCCCGGGTCCACCACGCCCCCGGGTCCACCACGTCCCCGGGTCCACCACGTCCCCGGGTCCACCACGTCCCCGGGTCTACCACGCCCCCGGGTCCACCACGCCCCTGGGTCCACAACGCCCCCGGGTCCAAAACGCCCCCGGGTCCACCACGCCCCCGGGTCCACCACGCCCCTGGGTCCACAACGCCCCCGGGTCCACCACGTCCCCGGGTCCACCACGCCCTCGGGTCCACCACGCCCCCGGGTCCACCACGCCCCGCGTCCACCACGCCCACGGGTCCACCACGCCCCCGGGTCCACCACGCCCCCGGGTCCACCACGCCCCCGGGTCCACCACGCCCCCGGGTCCACCACGCCCCTGGGCCTCATGCACGTACAGACTCATGTGTATAAAAAATTTCGCGTGTTTATTCCGCTTTTGGAACAGACGGCTGAGTGGACACTGCTCGGGATTCGTAGTCATAAGATTCTGATTTCGATCCCTGGCGAAAGCGGAAACAAAGGGGGCAGAGTTTTTTTCACCCTGATGCCCCCTGTTCACCTAGCAGTAAATAGGTACCTGGGAGTTAGACAGCTGCTACGGGCTGCTTCCTGGGGATGTGTAACAAATAGGAGGCCTGATCGAGGACCGGGCCGCGGGGACGCTAAGCCCCGAAATCATCTCAAGATAACCTCAAGATTGGTTCCCATTCTTCCTAATAGGTCCAGAAGATCATTTGATTGATCATAGTGTTGTTATCTCCTTGTTAGAGGCGCACATAAGGCCTCTATGAAATCTATCATTGTTAGCGGAAATTCGAGTTACCTTCAGTTGTAATTGGCTGTTGAAACGTTTGTGTAATCTGGACCCAACGTTCAAATATGAATGTTTTTCGTCAAATGATGATTTTGATGATCCCTCATATAAGTCTAAATCTAAAGTCTAAATATTGTCTTCTAAGTCTAAATCTAAATATTGAGTATACAGTAAATAAATATAGATATTACATGTTAGGTTATTATAATGACTTTCTCTTACGTCAATAATTTTCTGTAAATTTATGTAAACGAGCTTAATGTACAAACATTTATGAATAAAACATTTTAATTTAAATTATAATTATGTCTTTTATAGCTTGACTCCTTGTTATCATATCCCAGCTCCTTGTCCTCATATCCCAGCTCCTTGTCCTCATATCCCAGGTCCTTGTCCTCATATCCCAGCTCCTTGTCCTCATATCCCAGCTCCTTGTCCTCATATCCCAGCTCCTTGTCCTCATACCACATCTCCTTGTCCTCATATCCCAGCTTCTTGTGTCACATCCCAGCGCCTTGTCCTCATATCCCAGCTCCTTGTCCTCACATCCCAGCTCCTTGTCCTCACATCCCAGCTCCTTGTCCTCATATCCCAGCTTCTTGTCCTCATATCCCAGCTCCTTGTTATCATATCCCAGCTTCTTGTCCTCATACCACATCTCCTTGTCCTCATATCCCAGCTTCTTGTGTCTCATCCCAGCGCCTTGTCCTCATATCCCAGCTCCTTGTCCTCACATCCCAGCTCCTTGTCCTCACATCCCAGCTCCTTGTCCTCATATCCCAGCTCCTTGTCCTCACATCCCAGCTCCTTGTCCTCACATCCCAGCTACTTGTCCTCATATCCCAGCTTCTTGTCATCATATCCCAGCTCCTTGTCCTCATATCCCAGCTTCTTGTCCTCATACCACATCTCCTTGTCCTCATATCCCAGCTCCTTGTGTCTCATATCCAGCTCCTTGTCCTCATATCCCAGCTCCTTGTCCTCACATCCCAGCTCCTTGTCCTCACATCCCAGCTCCTTGTCCTCATATCCCAGCTTCTTGTCCTCATATCCCAGCTCCTTGTTATCATATCCCAGCTTCTTGTCCTCATATCCCAGCTTCTTGTCCTCATATCCCAGCTTCTTGTCTTCATACCACAGCTCCTCGTCCTCATATCCCAGCTCCTCGTCCTCATATCCCAGCTCCTTGTCTTCCTATCCCAGCTCCTTGGCCTCATATCCCAGCTCCTTGTCCTCATACCACAGTTCCTTGTCCTCATATCCCAGCTCCTTGTCCTCATATCCCAGCTCCTTGTCCTCATATCCCAGCTCCTTGTCCTCATATCCCAGCTCCTTGTCCTCATATCCCAGCTCCTTGTCCTCATACCACAGTTCCTTGTCTTCATATCCCAGCTCCTTGTCCTCATATCCCAGCTCCTTGGCCTCATATCCCAGCTCCTTGTCCTCATACCACAGTTCCTTGTCCTCATATCCCAGCTCCTTGTCCTCATATCCCCCGTGTTAAGTGCTGGTATATTTGTAAATATGGCTTTAATTCAAACAGGAGTGCCTCCGTCCCATCCCAAATCCTTACCCTGACCCATTGCAATGACGCCCAACCCCTTGGACGGTCGGGGATTGAACGCCGACCTGCATAAAGCGAGACCGTCGCTCTACCGTCCAGCCCAAGTGGTTGCACAGAAGACGATTGTTTACTTGTGTAAGCGTTCTCTTTCACAGCGGTCATTTTAAACCTTATCCTACTAAGTTACCCCTGGAACACAACCCGCAGTTGATTAGCAACCAGGTGCCCTATTACAACTGGGTGAACAGGTGCGAATAGTTAAGGATTCGTGCCCAGTCAGTCTTCCACAGCCTAGGGCTCCTATATTAATGAGTATTTTACTATTAATCTCACCCTAAATTATGAACACAAAAGATATATTTACTCACAATAATGAGGATCATTCTCACTTGAAATAGTCGTTTTTAGTAAAATTATATAAATTATATAAATTACTTTATACTGCTAGTAATCTTAATATAACTGAAAGAAATCATTTTAAATTTTGTTATTTTCTGCAGTAGTTTTACTGTTGCAATTGTCAATTGTAAGAGTAGTGATTTAATGTTGAGAAGGACGCGCCGTAGTTGCCAGATGAGTGCTTGCTTGCCAGGCGTGGTGCGAGGTGTTACTGGGTCAGTCACAAGGGGGTGACGGCGGTGCGTATCTGGCAACATCTGCTCACACATCCCTCCCACTCTCAGGAAATTCCGAGGGTTGGGATTGTTTGTCCTGCTGTTCCTGGGGAAATTTGCCCGTGTTCCAGTGTTGAGTGTTCCGTTGTGAAGGAAATGCTGGAATATAAGACTGGCTTGTGTGTGTGTGTGTGTGTGTGTGTGTGTGTGTGTGTGTGTGTGTGTGTGTGTGTGTGTGTGTGTGTGTGTGTGTGTGTGTGTGTGTTTACACGTGTATCTCCCTAAATATGCAGGTACACGAAAGCACACACACGTATAAAGCGACAATCTGTCACAACCTCTTAAGCTTTTTAATACTCTAATTGAAAATAAACAAGAAACTACCATCGCTCAAAAGAGTCCGCTAATTGGCCTGGACCATTAATGGCTTGTGACGTCACCAATTCCCAAGTGTACCACCACCCGCTCAAGAATCAATTACGTCTAAGATACAAAGGAGACTCTTGTGGACTCTGGAGCAAACAGGCCCAACCACTTGCACCGATCGTTACACCCACAGCCTCGTTTGCTTACAGGTCTGTGTTCAATCCCCGATGCCTCCTTCCTATCCGTACTCATTTTCCTCCCATTCCTTCCAAGCGTTCCAGAGTTAAACTGGCTTTGTGTATATTCTGATAATTAGCCAAGTACTTAGTCTTTCTCATATTCCTTCCAAGTGCTATATATAGTACTCCCGCTCTTCAATATCTTAATTTGAACGTTGTTTCTATGTCTACTGCGTCAATATCTATTTTGTGTCGTTATCATGTCTACCTTCTTCCTTCAGTGCAATCAGGTCCAGTTCCCTCATTCTTTTTTTCATAGCTCAGTCCCCTTAGCACAGGAGCCAGCCTCCTTGCATATTTTTCGACCCTTTCTAGCTTTGTTTTGTGTTTAAGTAGGGGTTCCATGCCGGGACAGCATACTCAATAATAAGACTCACAATGAATGTATACAGCGCTCAGGAAAGGATCTTTGTCCAGGCTGCTGCAGGATAACGGGACGTTGCCAGCATGACATATGCTGCCCTCGTTATCCTGCTGATGTGAGCCTCTGGTGTTAGACCTCCAGTTATCTCCATTCCTAAGTCTCTCTTTCTCACAAGTTGGAAGTTTCCTTCTCTTCATCACATATTGTGTTTGAGGTTTCATTGTTCCAATTCCTATTTGTTAACCTTCCATTTGTTAGGTTAAAATCAAGTAGCTATATCTCAGACCATTTCTGGAGACTTTATCGTGTCATGAACTGCAGTCCTCCTCGGTTCTGATTCGCCTCATTACCTTAGCCTCGTAAACAAGCATTTGATAGGAATGAGCTTATTACCTCTTTTATTTGATCGTTTACGTATATTAGAAATAGGGTGGGCCCTATTACCACCCCTTAAAGTACTCCAATCGTTACCCTTTTCCAGTGTGATTCCTCTTACAATAGCTCTTTGCCCTCTTCCTGAAAGGTACTCTTTTGCCTACTTTAGTACTGTTGACCAAACCACAGTAGAAAGTGAAGGGACGACAATGATTCGGTCACTTCACTTTCGATAGTGTCGATTCACAATCGACTTGAGAATGGTCCAGGACGGACCGAAACGTCGTCGTCCCAACAGATGTTGTCACAGCTCGTATAAGACTTGGCTACAAGTATCTCTGGCAGTTCGGCTTGTATAGGGATCTAGCTGAAGTAAAGTGTAAAGTGTGTGGACAAAGACAGGGACACACACTCGAACACTATATCTTGGATTGTAGTAAAATTGAGCCTTTTAGAGATAAATCTAAGCTCACTCTGTATGATATGGCAACCTATCTTATTACCATGGATAAATTACCTGAAATCCTTGCACTGTACCTACGTTTTGCTTCCAGTAGTTGAACGACATATGAGATTCAGAAACAAGTAGTGTTTTGTGAGGACTAATAATAAACAGAAGCTCCCCTATGACTCTGTAATATCCCCATTGGTCAAACTATTATGTATTAGCGATAAGAACTACCATTAATGTATGATGACTTACTGTAAATATGTAGCTCTTGTAATAGCACTTTCTCTGAAACTAGCTGACATTGCAACTATAAGGTGTGAAGGATAGATGAAAGTGTTCATGTAATAATCTAAGATGAGGTCTGATAAAGACCTTTTGTGCCCTCTGTAATGCTTTTGCGCTACCGCTCACAGGATGAGTATGGGGTGCACAACAAACTAGCCGCCTTCAGCGGCAATAATCAATCGTCGTCCCTTCACTTTCTAGTGTGTGGTTTGGTCAACATATTTCAGTCACGTCATTGTGACTCGTCTGCATACTTCAGTACTCTTCCCACACCAGCCTGTTTTCCTAATTTGTCAAAAGCTTTCTGGCAATCCAGGAAAATGCAGTGTGCCCAGCGGTTTCTTGCTCGATTGTTGTTATCTTGTCGAAGAACAAATTAGTCAAGCCAGCTTTTTCTTTTTCCGAATTCATGCTGATGCAGACGAGGAGTCACAATAACGTGGCTGAAATATGTTGACCAAACCACACACTAGAAAGTGAAGGGACGACGACGTTTCGGTCCGTCCTGGACCATTCTCAAGTCGACACATCCTTGAAAATGGTCCAGGACGAACCGAAACGTCGTCGTCCCTTCACTTTCTAGTGTGTGGTTTGGTCAACATCATGCTGATGCTTGGAAATATAATTTTTGTGTTCTAAATGTTCTAAGAACCATCTTGTAATAAATAGTTTCTTAATTAACATCTTGAAGGGAGCATTTGTTAGCCACACAGTTCAGTAGTTCAACAACTAACATCTTCCTTTCTTGTATATAGATATATATAAGAGGGGCAGCTCTGTTTTTATGTTAAAAAAGAATATATATATATATATATATATATATATATATATATAAATATATATATATATATATATATATATATATATATATATATATATATATATATATATATATATATATATTATTAAATATGACCGAAAAAGTAAGATTAATAATTCTAACACGAATTTTCTCAATCTTTCGTACATTTCTTTTCACTGTTGGTGGTAATTCAAAAATCAATTCTCCAAAATTCATTTTTATTTCTAGTCTGACGCGACACTTGAGCGCGTTTCGTAAAACTTATTACATTTTCAAAGACTTTAGTTTACACATACACAACTGAATAGAACTTACACATCTCCGATTTGTTTATATCTACATTTGAGTGAGGTGGATGGGGTGAGGTGGTTTTAATAGGGTATTAAATTCATCAACACAAGACAGAACACGAAACAATGGGTATTGAATGGAAGTGATTGTAGAAAGCCTATTGGTCCATATTTCTTGATGCTTCTATATTGGAGCGGAGTCTTGAGGTGGGTAGAATATAGTTGTGCATTAATTGGCTGTTGATTGCTGGTGTCTTGACATTTCCATACGCATATCCAGGTTTATATTCCCCATGGAATATAAACCATGGAATATGGAAATGTCAAGACACACAAGCCTGGAAACCCACTTCGGCCAATCATTAGCCAGATTCCCACACCCACGTACAGACTGGCGAAGCGACTCAACGGCCTGCTGACTCCTTATGTCCCTTGCGCCTTCAGCCTGAAGTCTCCAAAGGAATTTGTTGACTTACTGCGGGGCACACGGGCTACAGGGATAAGAGCCTCGTTGGACGTAGAATCACTGTTCACCAACGTACCTGTGGACGAGACAATCGGGATGATAGCCGAGAGAGTGTATCGTGATCCAGCCTGTACTCCTCTTGACATACCAGAAAATATTCTAAGGAAACTACTCCAAGCTTGTACTAAAGAGGCACCCTTCTCGAGCCCGGATGGGCACATGTATAAGCAAGTAGATGGGGTCGCCATGGGTTCTCCCCTAGGTGTCCTGTTTGCAAACTTCTACATGGGTACCATCGAGCAAAAAGTCTCAGTCGACATGAACTTGAAACCGGCCATATACTGCAGGTATGTTGACGACATTTTTACACAGGTACCTGATGTCGGACATCTGCAGGAGTTGAAGGAGGCATTTGAGCAGAGTTCCGTGCTGCGTTTCACTTACGAGATGGAAAAGGATGGGAAGCTGCCCTTTCTAGATGTAACAGTCATGGAAAAGAGCGGAGGTTTCCACACTGCAGTCTACACTAAGGAAACGAACATAGGAATGTGTCTAAATGCCAACAGCGACTGCCCAGACAGGTACAAGAGGAGTGTTGTTAACGCATATGTCGACTGTGCTCTCAGCCACAGCTCAGAATGGAAGCAAGTCGACGAAGAACTCTGTAGGGTAAGGCAGGTCCTAGTCAACAACGGCTTCTCCAATGGTTTCGTCGAAGACATCATTAGAAGGAAAGTGAAACGCCATGCAACCTCTGAAGAGACAACTAACACAACACCTATACCCCCTATTAGACTATTCTACAGGAACTTCTTTTCCACAGCTCATAAAACGGAGGAAAGGGTCCTGAAAGATATTGTTAATAGAAACGTTATCCCTACAGACAAAAATCAGAGGATACAACTGACGATTTACTATAAAACCAGAAAAACGGTCAGCCTACTCATGAGAAACTCTCCAGACACAAAGCAGAACGCTTTAAAAGAGACCAACGTCGTCTATGCCTTCAAATGCCCTCTTGGGGGACTGTAAGCTCCAAAAAACCCAGTATATAGGCAAGACAACAACATCTCTTTCTAGGCGTTTAACGATGCATAAGCAACAGGGCTCCATTAAGGAACATATAATCTCTTCCCACAACCAAACCATCGCCAGAGAAATCCTAGTAAACAACACAGAAATCATCGATAGATACAGCGATAGCAGGCGGCTTGACGTTTGCGAGGCACTACACATTAAGAAGTCAACACCAGCAATCAACAGCCAATTAATGCACAACTATATTCTACCCACCTCAAGACTCCGCTCCAATATAGAAGCATCAAGAAATATGGACCAATAGGCTTTCTACAATCACTTCCATTCAATACCCATTGTTTCGTGTTCTGTCTTGTGTTGATGAATTTAATACCCTATTAAAACCACCTCACCCCATCCACCTCACTCAAATGTAGATATAAACAAATCGGAGATGTGTAAGTTCTATTCAGTTGTGTATGTGTAAACTAAAGTCTTTGAAAATGTAATAAGTTTTACGAAACGCGCTCAAGTGTCGCGTCAGACTAGAAATAAAAATGAATTTTGGAGAATTGATTTTTGAATTACCACCAACAGTGAAAAGAAATGTACGAAAGATTGAGAAAATTCGTGTTAGAATTATTAATCTTACTTTTTCGGTCATATTTAATAATATATGTCTACAGGAAAGACTGCTACCAAAATATACTAATATATATATATATATATATATATATATATATATATATATATATATATATATATATATATATATATATATAATATATATATATATATATATATATATATATATATATATATATATATATATATATATATATATATATATATATATATATATATGTCGTACCTAGTAGCCAGAACACACTTTTCGGCCTACTGTGCAAGGCCCGATTTGCCTAATAGGCCGAGTGATTTTCTTTATTTACAATAAATTGTTTCCAATTAGTTTATTTTAATTGTTATTATTATATTATATTAATAACATAAATTATTGACTTAAGTGTGTTAGTTTAGGTTAGATTAAGATTAGGTTAAGGTTAGGTTCGGTCATATATCTACGTTAGTTTTAACTCAAATTAAAAAAAATTGACTCATATATAATGAAAGAGATATCTTTATCATTTCATATGAATAAAATATTGAAAAATATACAAATTTAGGAAAACTTGGCTTATTAGGCAAATCAGGCCGTGCGCCTAGTAGGCTGAGTACGACGTTCTGGCTACTAGGTACAACATATATATATATATATATATATATATATATATATATATATATATATATATATATATATATATATATATATATATATATGCAACAATGATCACAAAAACACTGATCCAAGTATGCAGAATAACCACATATGAAAAATAGAAAATGCTTAACGCGTTTTCGGCTAATTCGCCTTCATCAGAGCAAAGTAGAATAACTTTGTAGTAGAATAACAAAGTAGAATAACTTTGTAGTAGAATAACGTTTCTACTTTGCTCTGATGAAGGCGAATTAGCCGAAAACGCGTTAAGCATTTTCTATTTTTCATATGTGGTTATTCTGCATATATATATATATATATATATATATATATATATATATATATATATATATATATGTTGTTCTTGTTCCAGCGCCTCAGTGTTGCGATTCAGAGGGGAAATGCCTGTTGCGTCTTGGGCACTAGTCCAACTTCAGAGGAATTCGAAGAAGTGTTTGACTTGCAACAATGATCGAACCCGTCTGTGACATTCATCAATGTTTCCCATTGTTGTGTTTTTCAAGAGATCCATAACCTTTAAGCACCTTTTTGCATTATTATTTTGTATCAACCCATGTATATCTTGTAACCATCAAATGTATATATATATATATATATATATATATATATATATATATATGTCGTACCTAGTAGCCAGAACTCACTTCTCAGCCTACTATTCAAGGCCCGATTTGCATAATAAGCCAAGTTATCCTGAATTAATTTATTTACTATAATTTTTTTCTTATGAAATGATAAAGCTACCCTTTTCACTATGTATGAGGTCAATTTTTTTTTATCGGAGTTAAAATTAAGGTAGATATATGACCGAACCTAACCAACCCTACCTAACCTAACCTAACCTATATATATAGGTAAGGTTAGGTTAGGTAGCCAAAAAAAGCTAGGTTAGGTTAGGTTAGGTAGGTTAGGTAGACGAAAAAACATTAATTCATGAAAACTTGGCTTATTAGGCAAATCGGGCCTTGCATAGTAGGCTGAAAAGCGAGTTCTGGCTACTAGGTACGACATATATATATATATATATATATATATATATATATATATATATACCACCTTTCACACTTTCGAAATGTCAGGAAAATTTATAGTGAGGATTTGATGACTATAGCAAGCGGTAAGCACAATTCTGCAGCTGGCTCTGTTTAGTATCAATAGAGCCTTTCACCCGTCCACTCACTTGGGCTGGACGGTAGAGTGACGGTCTCGCTTCATACAGGTTGGCGTTCAATCAATGCCCGTCCACCAAGTGGTTGGGCACCGTTCATTTTTACCCCCCCCCCCCCGTTCCATCCCAAATCCTTATCCTGATCCCTTCCCAGTGCTATATAGTCGTAATGGCTTGGTTAGCTTTACCTTGATAATTCCTGTGTATCCTGTGTATCCATTCCTCTTTCTTGTATGTATATGTTGTGATTCTCCTCTGTTCTGTGCTCCCTGTATTTCTTCCAAGCTCTTTTACTTCTCCTTCTTTGCCTCTGAGCGTCGCCTCTTAAACTATTGGCAATTTATTTTCCATTGCATCCTTTATCCTCAGAAAATATATATTCTTAAAGTGTATGTGTGTTTGAATGTGTATGTGTGTGTGTGTGTGTGTGTGTGTGTGTGTGTGTGTGTGTGTGTGTGTGTGTGTGTGTGTGTGTGTGTGTGTGTGTGTGGAAACGTATTGAGAGAACCGCAATCCTTCCCAATGACTCGCATCTTTCATATGGCGTCAGTCTTTTATTTTTTTATTACTCTTTTTTTTCCATCCTCAGTGGGGTTTTTTGTGTTCGGTTCCTCATCGGTGTGAAATTTATAAACTGACACAAAGGTAAACAAAGACGCATGTTATTGTTTACAGTTGTTTTGCTTCATTGGTTTGTGGGTTTATCAAGCAACTTCTTCTTATTCTTTCTTGATGCATTGTTTGTTCCGTTTTTAACTTTTTAAAATTATTTTTTTGCTTTGATTTTTTTGTTTTGGGTTATGCCACTGGTCTTCGGAGGGAACTATCTCTGTTTATCTCGGGGATATTTATTTCATTCTGTCTGTCTGTCTGTCTACATCTTTTTCCTGTCTGTTTCCTCCTTCTTTACATCTTTTTCCTGTCTGTTTCCTCCTTCTTTACTTCTTCCCGTCTTCTTTGCCTTTGTTTTCTGTCTGTCTATTTTTTTAAACTAAGACTAGGATTAATAAGGGATGTCTAATGACATACCTAGTGAAACTGCAAGCAAGAGCTGTTAACTCTCTCTTTCTCTGTCTCCTTCCCTCTCTGTCTGTCTGTCTCTCACTCCCAGTTATTTCTGCTGTTGGAGTGCCTCCCTGCTGACAGGGAGAGCCAGATGGGCCGTGACTTGCACTCATGCTGACACTACGAGGCAAGTGTGTCAGCCTGAGGCTCTCACATGATATTGTGTGTCGCTCCCACCTCCAACCCGTTCTCTGCCCAGATTGAGGTTAAGAGAGAGAGAGAGAGAGAGAGAGAGAGAGAGAGAGAGAGAGAGAGAGAGAGAGAGAGATGGAATTATGGAACTATCAAGGGGAACACCAAGCCATTACGACTATATAGCACTTGGAAGGGATCAGGATAAGGATTTGGGATGGGACAGGGGAGAAGGAATGGTGCCCAACCACTTGGTGGACGGTCTGGGATTGAACGCCGTTCTGCATGAAGCGAGACCGGAAAGAGAGAGAGAGAGAGAGAGAGAGAGAGAGAGAGAGAGAGAGAGAGAGAGAGAGAGAGAGAGAGAGAGAGAGAGAGAGAGAGAGAGAGAGAGAGAGGGGAAAACGAAGGACTGAGGGTAAAATTGACATAAGCTATTTGACCTCTTTAAGTAAACGGCATATTGCACCATATTTGCCCAAATCTCTAACCCTGTTGATGGAGGACAGAGTACAATGCATAACTCCTGGTTAGCACTGAATAGATGTATTGACACGACAGAAACGAAAGCTGAAGGTCCAAGCTGTCGTCGTGAACTGAGTTTACCGTTATCTGTTTACCGTTATCAGAGACATACCAGCGGCTCTTACTGCTAACATTCTACAAGCAAAGCTTCTTCAAAATATTGCTTACTTTGATTTAAAATGAGATTGGAAACTTCCATAAGCCAGGAATAAGTCACAATAACTCGGGCTGAAAATAAATAACCAAAACTCTAACTATAAGAAGGATTTCTTTATTATTATTATTTTCTACCACAGACGTGGCCAGACATTTACAATGCTAACCAGCATATATACATTTTCTTCTGTCCTCCATGGGCAGGGTGAGAGATCTGTTAAACATATAGTTCAGTGATTTATTGAACAATCAACCACAGAAGGTGATTGTTGTGCTTTTAAAATGCTAAGCTAACCTACATTCGTAAATACATAGATACGGAGATTTACGTATGCCTTACATAAAGTGTTCGATGTGTCTTTTACATAGTGTACACAAGGAACTACCTTGTGTTCAGTCCTCATCTTGTGGTGAACAAGGGGGTTTTTCCCCTCGTCGTGAACAAGTGTGAACATTGCTTTCTCTATTCTTGATGTGAACGAGAGTGAACAGGGTTTCCCTTCTCTTTATAGTGAACAAATCTAAACAAGGGTTTCCCCCTCTAATTGTGGTGAACAAGGATTCCCTCGTCTAACTTAGAGGCAGGAAAATTAAGAATTTTGCATAGCCTAAATAGTTATCTCTCAGCAGCACCTTGTGAGGCAAATGAACTTATCAACAATCACGAAACACCTTGCGTTGCACAGGAACTTACCAACGATCACCTTGCGATGCACAGGAATTTGAAGTTTTGGAAATTACAAAGTCAAAATTTATGAGTTTTTGTTAAAATTTATGAGTTTTATGAGCTTGGCCAGCTGTCCAAGCTGGCCAAGCTGGCCAAGCTGTCCAAGCTGTCCAAGCTGGCCGAGCTGGACAAGCTGGCCGAGCTGGACAAGCTGGCCGAGCTGGCCGAGCCCCGGCCACAAAAATCAACGTTTCAAATTTTTATTTCCGATGCTTGCTTTTTTTCCCCTTTTCAGGGAAAAGGAAACAAAAGTGCAGTAGAATCACTGACCAAAGGATTTACCTTCCACAAAAGGACTACTTAATGCCTGGTATATTAAGGTACCTGAACAAACAGTTCCAAAATGTTAAGTGTATTGACACATTCCAACCCACACACTCACAACGCGGCTCCACACACAAAATAAACACATTATTTCATGGCTTTTTTAATCCATCATATTTGGAAGTTACTAAAAAGGACACAATCGACTTGAGAATGGTCCACGACGGACCGAAACGTCGTCGTCCCTTCACTTTCTAGTGTGTGTGGTTTGGTCAACATACTAAAAAGGACTTTTTTTTTTAGGCTGTTTTTTCGAAATATGTAAACAAAATATACTTCATTAATTAACAAAACCTGAAGTAAAGAGGGCATTAGGACACAAATTTAATTCTAATAAAAAAGTAGATAAATATTATGAATCGTTTTTCGATTAACTTTTTTTAGGTAGTTTAAGGTTTAAAAAGGTTTATAATGATGTTATTGACGGTACATTGACGACGATTGGACATAAGGGGGGGGGGGGGGCAGGATTCCTGTGACAGGCTCCTGTTTGGAGAAACGCGTCTAAAACCTGTACAGGGGTAGATATTATGACGTCACAATATCTAAAGTTATACTAACCAATTGAGGCCTATCCACAGAGAACGTCAAAATCACGGTGATTTAATTTGTACAAATACGTCGCATTTTTTTGTAACGAGGACACAGTGAGGGGGGGGGTATTGGACCACACCACCCCCGGAGGAAAGAACAAATAGCGACAACATGATCACGACATTAAAGATTTTTGAAACTTGGAACAGAGTAAAGATCGTAAATAAATTGACCGTACGAGATGAGGCAGTTGTCAAATGATAACATACACATTTGTATTTAGTTATGATGAGAAAAACTAGTCAAAATGAGCCATTACCTTAAACTACTGTCGAATGTCGAGCCTCAAAGGGAAGCCACTCATCCCTGCTAGCACACTGTGGTGAGTACATTGGGGTGAGTACCACAATACCTCTGGTGAGTACCACAATACCTCTGGTGAGTACCACAATACCTCTGGTGAGTACCACAATACCTCTGGTGAGTACCACAATACCTCTGGTGAGTACCACAATACCTCTGGTGAGTACCACAGAGACACAGAAGACACAGAAAAGGAAACAAGAATCCCCGGGGTAACTAAAATATAGTGAGCACATTTCCGCCCACCTCACTGCCCCTGACACGACTGCGGTCTCCCCTCAGGAGGGGGGAGGCCAGGGCATGAAGGGCGAGGGGTAAGGAAGTGAGGGGTAAGGGAAGGAAGTGAGGACACACGAGCATGGGGAGCTGAGGATACAAAGGGAAAGGAAGTGAAGGTAAGAATAGGGAAATGAAGCAGGAAAGGGGAGAGTGAAGCGAGAATGGCGTAGCAGAAACGAAATTGAGTGAGAGTTGTTGAAGGGAGAAGAGGGGAATACAGATATGAGGAATAAGTGATGGAAAATGGAAAGGGAAGAGCAAGCAGGAGTAAATGAGGAAGAGATGATGAAGGAAAGGCACATGGGAAGGGGAGACAAATGGGAAAGAAATGATAAGAAAGGGAAGGTTTTCAGACGATAGAAATCTGGTGTTGTGGATGGTGAAGAAAACGAAACGAAGAATAAATTACGATAAAATTGAAGAGGAGAAAAATGGATTAGAAAGAGAGGAGGAAGTAGAGGAGAGGAGGAAGACTACAGAGAAGCAGCAAAGGAAGAGCTGGAGAGAGAGAGAAAAAAAGATAAGCAATAACGGTAACGACTTAATTACTGGCTGTGTGTGTGTGTGGAGAGAGAGAGAGAGAGAGAGAGAGAGAGAGAGAGAGAGAGAGAGAGAGAGAGAGAGAGAGAGAGAGAGAGAGAGAGAGAGAGAGAGAGAGAGACGCTTCCCAGGTATTAGGATCTCCTGGGTAGAGGAGATCTATCTGTTTGGGACATTGTGGTGTTGTCTGGGTGTTGTGGCTCAGCGCTTGAGGGTGTGTGGTGGGGGGAGGTGTTGAGTGTGAGTGTGGTTGAGACTAGTATACTGCACATATTTCTAATGTCTCACACATGTCTAGGGTGGACATAGAGTCCATTGACAAGTGGGCCTTTTAATTAGGTACGGGTGAGCATCATTCCAACACCCCCCCTCCATCCTCACATTCCAGCTCCTTGTCCTCGGATCCCAGCTCCTTGTCCTCGGATCCCAGCTCCTTGCCATCGTACCCCAGCTCCTTGTCCTCATACCCCAGCACCTTGTCCTCATACCCCAGCACCTTGTCCTCATACCTCAGCTCCTTGTCCTCATACCTCAGCTCCTTTATGTCCTAATACCCCAGCTCCTTGTCCTCATACCCCAGCACCTTGTCCTCATACCCCAGCACCTTGTCCTCATACCTCAGCTCCTTGTCCTCATACCTCAGCTCCTTCATGTCCTCATACCCCAGCTCCTTGTCCTCATATGGTAGTGGTCCAGAGTGAATTTAAATGGCCGTAGATTTTGCAACTTCAAAACTCAGTTGTCATTTGCATTTCGAATGTCCATAGGTATTCAAGATAAATTTCAACCTGCCCATCAGGCTGATATGTCAATCAACTATCGACAGGCAGCTAACTCCTGGTTACACTCTGCCATCTTCAGGACAAAATATGCAACCTACTGCTACAGCTATCATTGACTTAATGGAAATTGATAGGATTGATGAATGTTAAGCCACCCAAGAGGTGGCACGGGCATGAATAGCCCGTAATGGATATTGATAAGCTGATTGGGCCAATATGGCTATTGGCCCATTGTATGGGAGCTTCACCTCAATCTCGGGAATACTTACCGCTGCTTCAAATTGCATTAACTTGTACACTGTTTCGTTGACACTTGTCAACGAAACAGTGCCTTAATAGAACTAAAAAATGAATTTTGGAGCGTTGATTTTTTAACTTCCTCTTCAAGTGAAGAGGAACAAAAGAAAAATAGAGAAGGATATTTATTGGAAGGGATGATTTCAGGGCTCAAGACTGTATTTCATCTTGGAATCATGTATTATGGGGTTTGAGTTTCCACTGAGCAGATACAAGCTCTTGGGCCCCCAGCTGCAAGTGAATGTGGCGTCTATATATATAACACTTGGTCTTAAACATTTTCAACAGTGTTTCACACCCTGGTGGCTTGTAGTTTTAGTCTGATGTTTAGTGCCTGTTTGTCCAGGGCTTCACAGAGCTCCTGGATTGTGTAGTCATCTGGTGGACGGTGTTTTGCAGCTCTTCTCAGCGCCTTATTTTACACTGCTTCTAGTTTCAGCCTGTTAGTTTGCTGCGAGGAATATACAAAGATTCAATGTTCATACAAGGTTTATGCATATATACAAGGAATACAGAAAGGTATTCGAGCTATGGCTGGACTAGAGTATAACAAGGAAGGCTGTATATAACAAGTATAACGACGGGTTGAATGGGGGTCAGAGGTCAGGCCAGCCACGTGCGGGTCAGTTGTTACGCGAAAAAGAGTTGATTTTCACGTGATGAAGTAGACATTGGGGGAAACGAGTTGGGAGTGGGTTGATTGACGGAGTTGCTGTATAGTTGAGGACTGGCCAGATGTGTGAGTGGCAGCTGGTGGAGGAAGTGGAAGGGAGGGTGGAGTAGAGGGAGTTTGGAGTGATACTCGGAGAGAGAGAGAGAGAGACTGTGCTGCCTTGACTCGTGAACAGAGGTCACTGGAGTTGTGGTGGTAGAGCCAGGGCCTCTGGTGGTAGTGATGGTGATAGTGGTGGTGGTGGTGGTGAAGCCAGGGCCTCTGGTGGTGGTGAAGCCAGTAATGTGGAGCACGCACAGGGGGGTAGAGGGGGTGGTGGGGGGGTTGTTGATGATAATACATGATAATAGTGTTGATGAACTGAGTTAGATTGCATCACTATCAGTTAGCACGAGCAATGAACTAATGGGAAAGTGGTGTCACTTAAGTGATAGTTCAAGTGTATGAGAGAGTGAGAGGGTGTAGGAGACTGTGAGAGGGTGTAGGAGACTGTGAGAGGGTGTAGGAGACTGTGAGAGGGTGTAGGAGACTGTGAGAGGGTGTAGGAGACTGTGAGAGGGTGTAGGAGACTGTGAGAGGGTGTAGGAGACTGTGAGAGGGTGTAGGAGACTGTGAGAGGGTGTAGGAGACTGTGAGAGGGTGTAGGAGACTGTGAGAGGGTGTAGGAGACTGTGAGAGGGTGTAGGAGACTGTGAGAGGGTGTAGGAGACTGTGAGAGGGTGTAGGATAATGAACTATCTGGCGAAAGAGAAGCATTGGGTACATATTACATAGAAGGGTCTGTAATCGTAAAAAAAAGAAGAGACGGGGCCCAAGAACAGAAGCTCGACGCTAATAAGATCAACTAGATAAGTACACCTAGGAGAGCGTACACACATTGATTGTCACTGTCAACCACCAATTGATTGACGGTCGAGGGGCTGGACCAAAGAGCCAAAGCTCAACTCCCGCAAGCTCATCTAGGTGAGCACAACATGTAAACAGACTATATGGTCATTCTTGGTGATTCTTGGTTATTGATTCATTCATTGATTCATTGATTCATGAATCTTGATTCATTGATTCATGAATCTTGATTCATTCTTGGTTACTTCTTGGTGATAATTACTAGAGATGAGCCCCCACGGGATCCTTAAGATGATGCTAAGTGCCCAGACTCCCTTCCACAACTCCCTCTGCGAAAAGTGTACTAGTAGGGGGGGGGGATGAAGAAGGGTAGGGGATGTAGAAAGGGGTGAGGTAGGGGTGGATAAAAGGGATTTCTAAAATATATAATGAGGGGGAAGGGGAAGAAGGGGGGAAGGGGGAAGAAGGGGGGAAGGGGAAGAAGGGGGAAGGGGAAGGGGAAGAAGAGGGAAAGGGATTGTAAACATGTTTGGGAGGGAGGATAAGGATAAGGAAGGGGGGGTACTGTATGATCCCCCTGTATGGAAGATTGTCTGGTGGGGGGTAAGAAGGGGGTAAATAGGATTGTAAAAATATGTGTTTGGGGTGATAAAGAAAAAGGTGGAT